TTTATTTGATGATAACCATACTTCAAAACTAGATAATTAAATTATATGTACACAAGAATCAAATAAAAAGCATGAACAGATCCTCTTTTGTACTATGCGATTCCAAAAATAAAGAAAAATGATATGGTTCTAGGACCATATCACCCTTTGTTTAGAACCATGAATCGAACACCAGACACTCTTCTATCTTGAAGCTCTCCATGATCTTATTCCTTTTTCTTAACTTGTTATTTTTTTTTTCACCATAGTTAAGCCTAAATTCTGATATATCAGAATTAATAAACTGAAAAAAAAAAATGTCTCCCTATTCCCTGATAGATTTGTTGAAATTTGAGATCAAGCATGTTGAAGAAAATCAGATAGAACCCCTGACTACACAATGTAATCAAACTAGCTTGAATTAATGGGTTAGTCAGATGGGTGGCTTATGCAAACCATTTTGGTTAATTGACTTGTGATAAGCAACTTTCCTTTTGTAATGTTTTTGGTACATGCGTATATTATCACATGTATCATGTGGCATAATAAAATTTGTAACAAAATTCTATTTAAATATTTAACATCATCATCTATGCATGCCTTCTCAACTATATGAGGTCAGTCACATTATGCCATTGCCATTGTTAAATCATTTTTTTTTTATTATTTTCACTAATGTCCTTTACAATCTGCCCCTAATTCTTCTATTTCCCTTCAACTTATAGCAAATGGAGCACAATATAAAACCAACTTAATATCCCACTGAGAACTAGACCTTGACCCAAGTGATACTACAACGGTTGACCTCTTAACATTTTACACTGTTTTGGGTCTGGGCTTCGGAATTGGGGCACTCAAATTTTTACTGACATTTAAGGATATCAATGGACCGGTTTTGGATTGAAATCTGTCCAAATCAAAATCAATTTAGATAGATTGAACATACCAACAAGGCATATTGAATCGGATCAGTCCAAATTTAGTGGTTCAAAGTATTTATTGGATTGGGTTGGATTGAGTCAATATCTGATCCATTGATAGAAGATAAGAATATAGGTATCAATGGACTAAATTTGAGTTAGAACTAATCTAAATTAAAACAAATTTGTATAAACTGGACAGTTCAAATATTAAATTGGATCGATCCAAAATATTCATTAGATTGGATTGAACAAGGTCCATTTGTAATAAATTCATATTGAACTGGATAGGATTGGACCAAATCCAGTCCAATTGATATGGGACTATTGAAACCAATTTTATAGGTTGACTGGACAGTTAATCGACTCAAACCAAGAAAAAATGTTATTTTTCCAGGACTATAAAGGGAATTGAGTCAATCAGATCATGGATTTAACCATCCAATCCAGTCCAAGTCTTACAACATTGATTTAAACAAAACTTGTTGACTTGTTTCACTCATTTTATAAAAGAGAAAATGGTAATGATGAATGTTAGGAGTTAGGATTCCTGCCAGCATTCATCATTATTGTAACACCACACGTGTTACAATAAAACTAAGAACTACATAAAAGTGAGACCGGCCATATATGAGATGTCCAGTATCAGATTATGTTGGTAGGTTGTTGAAATATATATTATTTGCAAGTGATCCGGATGTTAAAGCCACCACATTAGAAAAATATAAGACTTTTCATAAACAAACAAACGTGGCCCAGCCATAAACCTTATGGAACTGTTTCCTAAACAGGAGGAGAAATAATTAAAGCAGAATAAGGGAACAAATGGAGTCCACATTTCCTAATCACTTTTCCTATCCACTCTCTAGACTCAATAAATTGGAGTCACATATCTTTCAATTCATAATAGAGATGCGTAGTTCCAATTCACGGCGGGTAAAGAATGGGTAGGAAAAGTGAGTAAAAAATCCGGAGTGCCTTAAATGGGACTGTTTCTATCTTTTATCGATTGGATACGTAAGTAGTTATAATGAAGAAATTGAATGATAGGGACTAGGGAGGTCAATAATTCAATGCAGCTGCTATTCAGTCGGTTGGAATACGTTAACTTTAGGAACAGAGAATCACATTTTACATGCCTCCATGGCGATAGGGTAGGTAGGTCACTTGGGATTTCATTTCACTTTCCCAGGTGAAAGAGAAATCCCAAGCAGTTTTAAACTTTAACAGAGAAGCAGTTCAGCAGATCGTTGAGTGATGAGCTCAAATGGCCAATATTTGCCATGGAATGAAAAAGTAAATAAATAAATGTGATGAAAAATTTTTCTCAAATCTATTGCTTTCAGTGGAGTTCGGCTTCCATCGGTGCAACTTCCCAGAATATCTCATGGGGAGGTATTCTGATTGCAAGGTTGTAAGAGGCTATTTGAATGGTGTGAGCAAGAGCTTGTAGAAAAAGGAGAGGAAAAGCAAGCGGAAAAATCTTTGCAAATTTTGTACATTTAGATAGCCTCTTTACCTTTTCCTTCAAACCAAACATAGCCTAAGAGATTGATAAACATAGCCATTTCCTCCAAATTAGGAAATGCCTCATCATATTGCAGAGTGAAGAGAAAAAAGATTTTGATTATGGGAGACTCAAAGATTAATGATGAATGGCCTATCGGGAAAGAGAACAAACCCTTGGACTTTGTGGAATGCCTCTGGCCCACTAGCATGTGGCTGATCTTGCTCGGATTTTTAGAGAAGGTTGACATAATAATTCTTAGGTTGGAGTCCGCATTCTGTGCACCCATGGGTGTACTAGACATGTGAACCCACCAATAAAAATGTCATATGTCACCATTTCAAATTGATCCTAAAGTTAACGTGATTTTATCTATTAGCGGATCAAACCCAGTCGAATCAGACACCGGCCGGCAAAAAATCCAATGGTAAGCAAAAATAAAGTATTCTCACTCTCACTTACAAACTTCCTCTTCTTCCAATCTTCTTCTTTCAACCTCTAATAAGTTTTTGTATCACAGTTTCTGTAATAAGTTTTAGAGTCAACTTGTGTTGGTTGTGATGATTGATTGATTGAATTTTTTACTTGTTTCAAATTGTGATTGGTCAGATTTTGGTGGTTTTATAGGTTCAGGGTATTTTTTGACAATGGTTCTGTAGGTTCTACAACTAGGGCTAGTTCATCTGGTGCTGGAATCGTTGTTTCATCAGGCTTTACAACCTTGGGTGGAGGATCTATTAATAGGTGGGTCAGTCTTGGTTGGCTTCCTAGTCGCTATTTCAACCTTAATATGCTTCAACCTCTAGTAGTGGTTTCGATCTTTCGGAGGCGCTAAAAGCAATTGGAACTCAAAGAAACATCTCACTTTCCTAATTCCTATTTTCTGTGGTTGATTTTACAACTCTATTTAAATGTGTAACATCAAAATGGACCCTCTTTTTTGCCTTGTATATTTCCCCTCATGTAGGGCAGAAATTAGGGGTGAGCACTATTCAATTAAAACCAAAAAGCCGAATTGAAAATTTTGATTTCGGTTTTTTTGATTTTTGGTTAAATCGGTTTCAATTTTTAGAATTAGAAATTCGGTTAGCCAAATTTTTTATTGTTATATATAACATATAATATACTGAAATTTGATTTCATAATATATATTGCATAATATATAATATATATTATATGTTATAAGATATATAATAGAGTATATATTACTAAAATGCAGTTTTAACTGAAAATTTCGGTTTCTGTTCGGTTTTAATTTTTTAGTTCAGTTTTTAAATTTTTGACTTATTCAGTTTGGTTTTAAACCGAATAAATCGAATACTCACCCCTAACAGAAATTACATCATTTTGTGTTTTGTCTTTTGGTTGGTTGTACAGAAGAAGAATTCTTACCGTTGGAATTCTTTCCGCTATCGGTGACTACCACGTTCACAAATGCCAATGGGTGGTCAGTGGTCGGAGGGATGATTCTCTGTGTTAAGGCTCGGAGGAGAGGAAGAAACAGGAGGGAGTAATCCCTTGAAAGAAATCATTCTATGATATTTTGGTCTTTTTGTGGGTAGTTCAACTAGGCTTCTTCAGCTAACGGTTGAACATCCGTTAAGTTATCAGAATTTTAAAATACAATTATGTAACATTTTTATTGGTAGGTTCACATGTTCAGTGCACCCATGGGTGCACATGCCGTGCTTCGGTAAATGGGTTTCTTTAATAAAATGAGTATTTTATGTACATACATTCCGCACATGGAACTTGTCTCCATTAGAGACCAGAGATGGATGATTAATTGTTACCTCCAAAAGGAATCAGGATAGGGCATGAAGAATATGATCCCCACCCCAAAAGGAGCATTCCCTTTGGACTTTGGAACGCTTGGATGATTGTAGACGTCTCACTATAGATTATCAAGTACACCCATGTTCGAAGAGAAGGTAGACAGGCACATTTGTTGGCCCACCAGTGGTTTTTAAGTAGCTTCGGGCAGTGCTTCAATTTGAAGAAAGAAGAAGAAATGGGCTTCTCTGACAAGATGGGTCGTTGTAGTATAGTGGTGAGTATTCCCGCCTGTCACGCGGGTGACCCGGGTTCGATCCCCGGCAACGGCGATTAATTTTTCATTGCCAATTTCGATAAACTAAAATGACTTTTTTAACCTCAAGTGTCAAGTCAAGTGCTTGCTTCTAACTTCTAAGTACCTCAAGTGTCAACATATTCAGATTCCTGAATTCGCCCAGCCTAGGCTGTCAACAAAGTTCTTTCCTCTGCTGATTGCTGAAAAATACTCCCAAGTACCAACAGCCCAGGCAGGCTGTCGAGTTTAAGACAGCCAACTTTTTTTTCCGTTGCTTTCGACGATCAGAGCAGAGTAGAGGAGACGGAGACGAGGAGTATCCAAGATCCCTTGGATGAAAATCCGAATACCAACGTTATATTCCTACGGATATTCCCACGGATATTCCCGTTGTTTGTTTTATTGATTTATCAACTTCCTACTCTACCTAATTAACAGATTAAAATTGCCACGTGTCACCACATAAATGCTTCTTACAACACCTTCAAAACCTGTTAATTACGCGATTGGTTGTTCTAATTCAAAACTCACTGTCCAGGTTTCAGAAATATGCCCGATCTGATCCTTTTCTGCCTTGTTTTTTCTTTTAAATTTGGCACCGCGCCCCTTCTCCATCTATAAAGCCCCATTACGTTTCTCCTCGAAATCGTTGCTTCTTTGTTCGTCTCCTCAGAGTCATGGCTTGTTTCTGCAACAAATCCATGGCTCTGTGCCTTGTCCTAACCATTTGCCTTCTGGGCTCGAGTTTTGCAGAGCTCCAGAGGTTCGAGCACCCCGCAAACGGTGATGGGTCGCTGAGCTTTTTGGTCATCGGAGACTGGGGGAGAAGAGGAGCTTACAACCAATCTGAAGTTGCTTTTCAGGTTTTACACCAAACTTCTTTCTATGAACAATGAATATCATCAGTCATCACCACCTTCTCTCCATCTCTTTACTTGATAGATTTCTTGTAATTTTTTCCGGTTAACGCATTCATCATGTCCTCAAGCATTTAAGCCTTAATGGGTAGATCAAAATTTCTGGAAAGTGAAATTTTCAAATGATCGTGGCATTTTGTAATTTCTGTCTGTGGAACAACTATTTGAATTGAATGCTTAGTAAATAAAAAAGAAAAAAGAAAAACTGCTTGAGTTGAATGTCAATACTCCATTCTGCTCTTTTAACATTACATCAGCGAGTGAGAACTTGTGATTTGAGAGAGCAATTGATTGACTACTTCATCTCCAACTCCAAGCACTAAGGGCACATAATTGAATGGATGTAATTACTAGAATACCCTCAGTTATACGTCTATTTTCTAAAATTAATCTCCCCTTCCTCTGAATTCAGAGAAGGAGGATATTAATTAAAGTGTTGTTTTAATTTCTGAACCAATTTGTTGCAGATGGGAAGGATCGGAGAGAAACTGAACATTAATTTTGTAGTCTCCACCGGAGATGATTTTTATGACAATGGCTTGACCGGAGAGAATGATCCCGCCTTTGAGGAGTCATTTTCCAAAATCTACACTGCCAAGAGCCTCCAAAAGCAGTGGTATAGTGGTAAGAATAATAAATTTCTTTTCTTTTATTAATTTTTATAACGATCATCTAATATTGCTTTTCCTTAATTTTCTAGTTTTGGGCAACCATGATTACAGAGGTGATGTGAAGGCCCAATTGAGCCCAGTCCTCAAGAAGCTAGACAGCAGATGGCTGTGCTTGAGGTCTTTTGTTCTTAATGCAGGTGAAAATTAAAAACCCAGTTCACTTGGAATTTGAAGATCATCAAAACAAAGTTTCTCTTTGAACTTGAAAAAAAAAAAAAAAAAAAAGATCTGAAACGCTTTTGTTTCTGCAACAGAAATTGCTGAATTCTTCTTTGTTGACACAAACCCATTCGTGGACGCTTACTTTGAAAACCCAAAGGGCCATAGCTACGATTGGAGAGGTGTTCTCCCTAGAGAGAAGTACCTGGCCAACCTTCTCAAGGTAGAAGAAGAGATAGGTTCCACACTTGCACTCCGTAACTCATTTCCAAACCAAGGGTTGGTTAGCCTGAAAGTGATGATCAAATGAAGGTTTTTGTGATTAACAGGATATAGAGAGTGCACTGAGAGAGTCGAGAGCGAAATGGAAGATCGTGGTGGGTCACCATGCGATCAGAACTGTTGGGCACCACGGCGACACCCGAGAGCTTGTGAAGCAGCTTCTCCCAATCCTTAAGGCCAATGACGTCGATCTGTACATCAATGGACATGACCATTGTCTGGAGCACATCAGTGATGCCAACAGGTAGGTATTTATTTGATTTTGTTTGGCTGCGTTTGCTTGCACTACCAATTTCATATTTGCACTGGTGTATGCATGCGAGTGCAATTGAGAATTTATTTTGTTGGGATGTCGTGAATGCATATGGTCCCCACCGAATGGAGGCAGGAGAAGGGTTATTTGATGATGGCGTAGGTAGAGGTGTAACGCGAGCCACCCCTACTGTAGCCAGCTGGGCCTGGGTGGACCATGCCTGCCTGGCCTATAATCCCTCATAAAGGGTAGCCCGTGCCAGGCGGTATGATCTTTATATATATGAAATATTAAAATGAAATTGAAAAAATTATAATAAATTAGAATAGATTAATATATAAAATTGAATATATATATATATATATATATATATTTGCGTGTATTTATATATTAAAATATTATTATATAATTATTATACATGTGTATATATGATGTAAGATGATGCTATTCCTATTCTATATGGGAGAGGAAATGGGAGTCTGGGAGCTCTGCACGTAAGGATGCACAATTGAGTGGCGTGTTCCATGGACATGGAACTCGTATGGTTTGGAACACTAGCATATTCAACCTATTACATACAGCTGTATTTGCAGTAGATCAGAATGAGTAGGAAGATGGTGCAAATTTCACATCAGTATTTTGAATGCAAAAATTACACTGTCAATAAGTGCAATTGAGTCAAAAAGTATAAATTTTATAGGAGGTAGAAATGTAAACCACAGTTACAAATAAACAAATTGATGCAAAACTAGAGCAGATTTGATATGCACCCCAAACAAAAGGAGCCTTTAGGGCCGCAAAGGGATCAAATCGGGTCAGATAAAGTTGATCCAAATTTGATTCATCTATATCTGGTTTAAACATGTCATGAACAAAACATATTGAAAATAAATATTATGATATTTGAACCAAGAACCCTTTTACCAAAAAGAACGAAGCAGCCAATAACACTATTGAAAACACAACATTCAAACCAAACCAATTTTATTAATAGATAGAATATAAAAACGAATCGAATTATATGGGATTGGAATAGAAAGTGGTGGATCCATATTCGACCCAGTTATAAACGGATCGAATTTGAATAAATGGATATCATTTAATTTGCAGCCCTACACCTGTTTAAGCTTGTATTGTTAAGCAAAGTTTGGTTGTGGATGCAGTCCTATCCAGTTCTTAACAAGTGGGGCGGGTTCCAAGGCATGGAGAGGAGATGTGAAGACGTTGAACCGAGAAGTAGTGAAATTTTTCTACGATGGACAGGGCTTCATGTCTGTGCAGCTTACTCAAACCAACGCCGAGATTTTGTTCTATGATGTTGCCGGAAAGGTGCTGCACAGATGGAATGCACCCAAGCAGCAGCTCTACTCCGCCATCTAGACTTGTATTTGTTTTAGCCTTTTTTCTTTGGTAGGCTAATCCGACCCGTTTAAGGTCGTCAGTATTAGATATGTTTATAATCGGCTCTTGTCCAATCCGATTGTAGCCCTGTTACCTAGGCACTAGGTATTGTCTGCATGGCCTCATGTGACCTTTTTTTTGTTGTTTCCACCGACCACTGTCCACTGCCAGCCCCTCTGAACCCCTGAATCCGAGTTCACAAGGCGCGCCCCACGGGAGATGTTCGCAGTGCAGGCTGAGATGTGCATGTAGGGCGCTGATGTGATTTCAGTGTCCTCGTGCCATTCAGGAATTGATGCCTATACAGTTCGAATACTATTCCGTCTCTAAAGGGTAATAGCGTTGGGATCTGCGAGATCGGTTTCAGTCAGAGAAAAATCCGTTCGAACAGTGTTCGAACAGCCTTTATAGCCTTGCATCCGGAATATCTCCGTACTTTTATATTTTATTTTATGAGGAGATATTCTCAACGCAAGACTCTGATGGCTATTTGAATGGACTTTGCTCCCACTGAATCCTGTTTCGAGATCTTCTGCTACCAATTAAACACTTCTAATACCATTCCAATGATTTTGGATCTGTTTCTCATAGAGTGCTTCTCACACCAACCTCACAGTACCTCTCAGTTGTATATAGCGAACATTTCCTATACTTTGTACTGTTATTCATAGGGATAGGGAGATGTTCCCAATACATGATGGGATAGGGTTGGGAGGTCGGTCTGAGGTGCTCTTTGTTAGTAGCAAATCTCAATTCCGATAGGCCAGATTAGTAAGTAGGAACATCTCCCTTGTCATACATGGGGAGATGTTCCCCATGTATGTAAGGCTGTCAACGGGTCGGGTTGGGTCTGGGTTAGGTTCAGTTGGAACTGGAACCGACCCAACAAGAAATATTAAGGACTTAGACTCGATAGGATTTTTAATTTTTAGACCTAGAACTGAACCAATTGATTCTTGAGACAATCGAGTCTGGTCCACTGGACTCGATTATAATAAATCTACTAAAAAAATTATATATATACATATATATATATATGTCAATTTATTTAATATATTATATATCTAATATTATATGTATATGTCTTGAGTAAGACCTGAATTGGTTCGGGACTAGGTGGAGCCAGTTCCGAACCAATAATAATCAAGAATATACCAAGACTCAAAAGCGACCCAATCAAATTAAGATCCATTAGGTCGAACCCAACCCACATTAGCAGTCCTACATGTACGACTAAAATTGCTGGTTGGGACATAGTTGGGAGGTTGGGACATAGTTGGGACCGTGTGTTGGTAATTCCCTCTTAAGTGTGTGAAATCCTGAGTTGGGATCTCCCCTCAACGAAACGAGTTCGGATCACCTGTCAACAAAATTCATTCCAATGACCTACCAGCATGGTATCACACCACACATTTCATACATGGTGGGTCCTAGTCTCATGGTGAGACCGGCGATGTTAGATCAAGTTGGTAGAGGATTGGAATATATTTTGTTGGTAGAAGTTCCCAATTCCAATATGATCCATTTGTGCATATCTCACCAATAAGACTCGGAGAGTGCATGAGAGATATGTGGGTATAGATTATGTGGAAACTTATTGGGACGGTTTTTTGTTAGAGGAGATCCAGACTTAAATTTATATTATATGCCCCTCAGAATTTGATAAATATTACCTACCTCTAAGTCCAATCCCAAATCAATTTAAAGACCACATATTCAAATTTGAATCCTAACAAATTCATATTGGATTCGTATTCTCATGACATATTTGAGATCCAAGATCTTCAAATGGACCTACCTAATATACATACATACATACATACATACATACACACACACACACACACACACACACATATATATATATATACATACATACCTAAGGGTAAATTTCTTAAACTACCCTTATAGTTTAACTAATAGACTAAATGTACCCTTACTGTTTCAAAATCGACTGGTGCTACCCCTATTGTTTCTAACAATTATCTAAGTCTTACAAGTTTCGTTAAATATGAACGAAAAATTTAAAATGTCCCTTTTACCCTTTAAAATGTCCATTATCATCCCTGTTCACCAACGTCATCACACGATCGGTACTCTAAGTTCGACGTCTTAGATTGCTCTAGAAAGCAACTCAATCTCACATAGTTCAAGTTCTTCAAGAAACAAATCCTCTGAAACCCTAAATCAGTTCCACTCATCATGAGAGTGGAAATGGTGAGTGAGGCCAACGCGGGAAGACAACAATGTTTCAAAGATGAATTGCAATCAGGACAGAGATGACTCCACCTTCTGTCTCCCCCATCCAAAATTTGCCTCGTATATCCCCAATGGCGACCCCAACACAAATCTTCCCCTCAACCCCAGAAGACAACAAGTAGTGAGATGAGCTTCAACATCACGACTCCAGTGTTGATTAATTGTTGGAAATGAGATTCAACCATGTTACAGTGATGACATCATCTCTCTACAACATCACCGTCTCCTGTATCAACGTCTTTCTCTGGGTTCATCCACAGACGTAAAGGCTCATCCCCTGCTGTGATCAAAGTTAAAGGAGATGAAACAGATCGGTAGGGGAGAGAACGAAGGGGAAGAAGAAGAAGGAGAGAGAGAGGCTAGACTAGTGTCTCTTGAGATCTGGTTCATTTTTCTCCTCATTTTTGGTTTTCAAGTAATAGTAATAGTTGGCGTCTAAAGAAAGGGGGCTGGGCTCGCCGATTGCATCCTCAATCTCCGACTTGCCGACTGACGCAAGGGGGCTGGACTCGCCAGCTGCATCCTCAATCTCTGGTTCATTAACTTACAAAACAACTTCCTCAATTGCCGACTGCATCCTCAATCTCCGACGCATCGATTGAAACAAGGGGGTTGGGCTCGCCAACTGCATCCTAAATCTCCAACACAGGAAGACGACAATTTTGCTTGCAAAATGGATTGTGACTCCAACACTATTTCAGAGATGAATTGAATAAGGTCTCGGCGGTGAGTGATGGGGTTTGTCTCGTTCAGCTTTGATTGGGTAGAGTGCGCAGGTCGGTGGGCACTTACCCATGTTATCCGGGAAGAAGTTGTGTTTGCTAAATCGCAGTTCCACTACTCCAGTAGTGTTCAGTTGTCACTATCCTCAACCTCCAAGTACAGTGCGAATATGGTGCGCTCCTGCTGGTCTGGTGTTGACAGAGAGAGTGGGATGAAGGGGACGAGAGTTGGAGAAGGAAGGAGGTGTCAGTCAAGAGTAAGGGGACAAGGGTAATATTAGGTTTTAAAAAACTTTAAACATCACGTGGTGTCACGTGTGTATGGGTTTTGATGAAATATCAACAGATGTTAACGGTAAGGATAGAGTTAGACAATTGTCAGAAAAAGTAGGGGTAGTGTCAATCAATTTTCAAACAGTAAGGGTACACTTAGTTAGCTAAACCATAAGGGTAGTTTAAGAAATTTACCCTTAATACTACAAGTTCACCTCCGTCCACAAGCCCTTTTCTTCCATCCCCACCACCTCAATCCCATCTACCTATTTTTGCTGCTCCTCATCGGGTAATACCATTGCCCCCATCGACACCACCTATAGCTCCCCCTCTAGCACTACCTATCGCCCCCTCTTGTAGTCGCCCCACCACCATCCCCTCCTCTTGCTCCTCTACCTCCGGTTTCTTCATCACCTCCTCCGGTAATGTCCCCTCCACTTCCTGTTGTCACTCCCTCTATGCCTCTTGTAGTTTCTCCTCCACCTCCAGCATCACCTCCACCACCTCAACCACTGATGGTCATTCAACTTCCATCACCATTCCCATTAGAAGGGTTCTCACATGAGAATCGTTCTTCTCCTGTAAAATTAGTGTGGATGCATTTTAGTCATAAAAATATGTTTTAATAAGGCTGACTTGCTATTCAATGGTGGTTTGGTCATAAAAATTGCATTTATGTTGACGTGAACGATTTCTGTCATTGTACACTAACGATGCTTTAATGGATGGTGAGTTTTGGGAAACAAAAACTCACTGACATGGGGTTCCTTGGACGTTTTGAAAAGTTATGGTAAGTTTAAGAGAAATGTTGAAAAGTCATGGTGAGTTTTAGACAACTTCCCAAAAAAATGTGCATCTATTAACAAAAAATACAAGGCTTGATTTGTATTCAAGTGCCCCACCACTTCTACCAACCAACACTCTCTTGATAAACTAGATATCAATTGTTTGTGGTTCCTTTCAAAAATAGGGTCTATATGTCATAATCTTTCTTGATGGGACACTTTTTTAACATCAATACTTTAGCCATTTGCGGTGTTGAAACTTTAGTGCTTGTCTATGCAAAAATAAAAAACACATGACTCGACTTGACAAATATACTTGTTGACCCAAATTTCATGTATAAATCCAAATACCTGAAAAAAGAAGATAAATTCAAAAATTGGATTTTTTTTTATATAAATGGGATACAAGCTCTTTGCATTTGAAACTCTTTTACAAAAAGGACAGAACCTCTGATTCTCTCTTGGTGGTGCTTCTTGCAATTTGAGGATTTGGATTTAAATTGAAACCAATGGTCAGGTGACGTGCTCATGTGCTTCAGACAACAGTAAAGATTACTTTCTTCAATTAGGCTTGGAAAGCTTTATCAAAAGAAGGGTTGTGCTACACTTCAAATGTGCTGTGACTTTGCTCTTTAGAAAATGGTGTACACTTCCTTCTTACTTTCGCTTAGTTTATTTCTTTGACCAAAAGTCCCCTCCCTCTTGATGAGGACCCCTATTTATAGACTTCTTGGTCTAATCTCTTAATCCCCTTGATTTAAGATTTGATTAGTTATTCTTTAGAGAGTAAAATGTTGTAATTACTAACATTATTAGAGAGAATAATTTATCATCCATTATTGTCTCCTCATTGATTAATTTCCACTTATGGGAAGATGTGCCTTGTTTGGCTAGAAATTTGATTGGCTCTAGTTACTTTTCATAAAGAGAAAAGTTTGCAATTTGCAATTTGCCATTTTGGGCCTTAATATCAATAAAATTAATATTTTTAATATAATTTCAAAAATAGGATAACTTTTTTTTGAAAAAATATCATATAAGGACAAAAAACACTGTTCATCTTCTCCCTCTTACAAACTATTCATTGGCGCCGCTTGCCACTGCCTCTGGCAACGCCTCCGCCCACCTCCAACAACTTTTGGGTACTTCCTTTATAAAGGAAGTTGGATCCCTTACATGCCGACTCGTGGAAAGCCTATAGGCGACATTTGTTAATCGAGGTAGAGAGGAGAAGCAAAATTACACTTACAACAACACGAAAAAAAAAAAGAGAGGAATCGAAAAACCGGTAAGAAATTGCTCCATCACAGCATCACTAATGTCCTGCTCTGCTTTTTTTTTTCTTTTTTTCTCTCTCGCTTTTTATTCCTTTTTCGTGCAAAACGTTGTGCATTACAAAAACACATTGTAAGTTTGTTTTCGTGGAATGGAAAAGATTTTTCTTGTTTTTTTTTTGAATTTTCAACTTGTGTTGTCATTTTATTGTTTGATTCTTCATGTTTTGTTTATTTTCCTAGACTTTTTTTGCTTC